AACGTCTGCTACTCCACGAATAATTTTACAGGCCGGCTTTTTACATTGTAATTTAACGTGGTTAGAATAGATTCTTACGACACGAATTATCTTTGTCTCCACCAACTCGTCGTCTGATGACCGCACGGAATTTGGTGGCCTACCTTTACAAGTGGAAAGTTCACCGCCTGATGGCAAAGTGAGATCTTCCTGCTTGTACTTCTGTATGCTGATCACCTGATGGTTAAACCAGCAGACAGGATTGCGTTGTGAGAGTCACCGTCTGATGACAGGATGATAGTTCCCCCTTCGCACTTCCAGCATCGTCCACCGTCTGATGACCGGCATGGACGCGTGGGTAAAGTGATGTGGTAATAAGGTGTTTTTCCATAAACGGGAGTTAATTAAGTACATCAATGGACCACGTGATCGACGCGACTTTTATTATCGCGATTTTAGAGTAAATTGACTCGCTGGTCTAAAGCGAATTATAAAGTCCATGAAAAAAAACTGCATCGCAGAACGGGAACCTCGTCTTCTTTCAACCACGTATTTCAAATTTCTGGCCAGTCCGGATACACGATGCGTTCACGTTTATTTCACAATCGAGAAAGCGTCTTCATGGTGCCTTCAAAATTTCATTGAGTACGCTGTTGATTCCGAGATTAACTTCGAACAGGCGGTCACAATATTTAGAGAAAGCCTAGATCAATTAAACCAGCTCACATCCACACCCAATCCGATAAAATCATTCTGCCATAATTACTTAGAGTGGTTAAAGGTAGGCAGTATTTTTTTGTGTAATAATGATATAGAAATAAAACTCAATCATTACAGTCTCGTGCAGGAATTACGATTATCCAAGACTGCCAAAAATATTTCGATGCTACCAAATATCAAAGACAATCGGCCGTTCTCAACGACACAGTCGAGGTTGGTTGATACTTGATTTGCAGTTATGTGCATGTGTCGAATGGATGTTTACATTTCATTATCACCTTTAAGAATACGCTATTACTTAACTCGAAAACAGAGATCATTCAAGCACAATTAAAACCCTTGGATGCTTTGTTATCTTCAAACGCTTTATCACCTTCAATTACTATACAACTTTCAGAAGCTACCGATACTTTACTACCTAAAACCCCACCGCAAACTCCTCGAGAATTAGCACATTTATTAAATACACCAAACAAGCGTCCAATAGAGAAGGAAGAACTTTGGGAGTAAGTTTCTGTTTGATGTGTTGCCTGGAAAACCGAAGTTATTCTAACATTATTTCGATCTTCTATATAACAGTTACACTCAAAACAATTCTGTTATATGTGCATTTGCGCTAACAGCCAAAGAATTGGAAACAAAAATCGGCATAGAACTCACCAAGGAATTGTCCTCTATGCGTGATAGAAATCCCGTTGTGTGGAATTCTGCGTTAGAAGAGTATATAAATGCGACTCTCAAGGAATCTGGTGAAAAATTTAAGGATGCAGTTAGAAATAAGGATTATAAAGATATAGATGAATGTTTCCGCCTATATTGTGAGAAAGTTCTCACCGACTTGTAGGTAGGCATTAATATCTATTTGTCCATCAAAGAAACTGATTTCTTTTCCTTTAGCTACAATCTTGTAGATGTTGGTCCAACTATGAATAGAAAAATGGGCGAGCGAAAGCATATAGTTTACCAAGTATCAGCACTATTAAAATTTTATGAAAGAACGTTTCTAACCTTGGATATTGATTGGATTGAGTCTCATTCCCGTCCGGAAAAACTGATGAAGTCGGAATCAAATTCTGGCATTGTTCTAGTGGATGCAAAGGCGACAAGGTTCTCCGATGGGCTTGACGTTTGGCATTTAGAAGTTGCAGGTCCTCCCCATAATGCACCCAATAAACACGTTCTAGGTGATTCCAAGAAAGCATTCCGAACGGATATCCTAAATCTAATTACAATATTGCGGGAACACCTTGATTGTGATATCAACCTTGCCACAAAGATAAAGGTGTTCAGTACACTATCGATTAGTAAGTAGATCTATGTTTTTTTAGTTTTGTTAGCCACTACAATGTA